CTAAATGACCAGTTTGTGATGCAGAGTGATGCTAATGACCTGGGTTAAATTCCTGCATCAACTGAGATTACCATGAAGGACTCTCCTTGTCAACCTTTCCCCTTGTCTGAGGTGTGGTGGACCTCTGGTTAAACCATTACCACCAGTCGTCTCTCTCTAGTGAGAGAGCACCCCTATGGCAACACCGACAGCAGCATCTGCCTCTCTCTCTCCCTGTCTCTCTCTCTCCTGTTTCTATCTGACTGCCTGAGAGTCTGCAAATCTCCCCATGACTACCACTTTACCTTTTCTGTTTAGATGTTAAATCCTGCGCTTGGCTTGTATCCTCCCACTGTTTCCACGGTAGCCAGGTCAAACAGACTTACGGTACAGATTTAGTAGCAGGTCATTATGCTCCTTTTTACTTTGTATTTTAAAAATTATATTTTAATTTAAACATCTTAAAGTCTTGCACTCTAACAAAGAACGCAATGTTTGGGCAATTAAATTGAGTCTGTGCGAACTTAAGGAATGTAGACTCACTAACAAAAATAGAAATTGCTGGAAAAGCTCATCAGGTATGGCAGCATCTGTGGAGAGAAATCAGAGTTGACGTTTAGGGCTCCGAGTTCTGAGGAAGGGTCACTCCACCTGAAATGTTAACTCTGATTTCTCTCCACAGATGCTGCCAGACCTGCTGAGCTTTTCCAGCAATTTCTATTTTTGTCTGTGATTTACAGGATCTGCAGTTCTTTCATTTCAAGTAGACTCACTGGCAACCTCTGCATTCCCATGTTATTTTGTACATGTGCAGATTCTATAGTTTAGTGCAAACTCGTCATCAGTACCACAAAATCCAGATCATTATCTTTTCAAACCTAGCTTTTGCTTATAGCTGCGTAGTCCAAGTTATAGATTTTTAGAAAAAATGCAACGTGTGATATGTTCTGGAAAGGATGACTGGTACATGTATTAGTTTTTGTTTTAACTCGATAAAATGGAGGAAATTCACAAAAGAGCAAAGGTTTAAGGTGAAAGGAGAAAGATTTAAAGGGGACCTGGGGGTAACTTTTTCACACAGGGTGGTGTGTATATGGAACGAGCTGCCAGAGGAAGTGTTGGACACGAGGACAATTACAATATTTAAAAGACGTTTGGACGGGTACTTGCATAGAAAAGGTTTAGAGGGATATGAGCCAAATGCAGGCAAATGGGACTAGTTCAGTTTAAGAAACCTGGTTGGCATGGATGAGTTGGGCTGAAGGGTCTTTCTCCACACTCTGACTCCAACTATAACACCAGTCCATTGGCATCTTAAAAATAGGCTAACATCTCAATTGGGCCTATCGTTAGGACATGTTAAGATTCTGTAATTGAAAGCTGTACCTGTTGCCTGCAAGCCAAACTAGAAAATTAGCATTAGTTGACCATTAGTTTAATTATTTTGATAAAACAAAGAACCTCAGATGCTGAAGATCTGAAGAAGGGTCATTGTACTTGAAACGGCGGCACGGGGGCTCAGGGGTTAGCACTGCTGCCTGACAGCGCCAGGGGCCTGTGTTCAATTCCATCCTTGGGCGACTGTCTGTGTGGAGTTTGCACATTCTCCCCGTGTCTGCGTAGGTTTCCTCTGGGTGCTCCGGTTTCCTCCCACAGTCCAAAGATGTGCAGGCTAGTTGGATTGGCTATGCTAAATTGCCCGTAGTGCCCCGGGATGTTTAGATTAGGTGGGTTAGACATGGGGAGAATGCTGGGATAGGGAAATGGGTCTGGGTGGGATGATCTTCAGAGGAGCGGTGTGGACTTGTTGGGTCGAAATGCCTGTTTCCACACTGTAGAGATTCAATGATTCTATGAAACATTAACTCTACTTTCTCTCCACATATGCTGCAAGACCTGCTGAGCTTCTCCAGCATTTTCTGTTTTAGTTTGATTATTTAATTCATTTTCAAATAACTTCAAACGCAACATATTTCTGGGTTTCAACCAAAAATAACTTCTCCTTGACAATTTGTAGATATTTAAAAAGTAGAAGTTGTTGTAGGAACTGCAGTAGGATTTTATCAAATAAAATGAATTTAAAAAATTTTAATATGTTTATTATCAAAACATTTTCTAACTCCTGTCGCTAATATGCCTCTCAACAGAATTAAGAGGCAAATGTAAAACTGCTGCAAAAATCAGTAGTTGCTGTGTTTTTTTTAATTGTTAATTTCATAACAAATGCACTTTGCAGGGACTGATAACGGAGCTAAACTTTGTGCTGTCAGTTGGACCTGATCTGTCACCTAGCAACTTTTTTGCAACTTATTAACTTATTAGTGTGACTAATCATGTTTCCTAATAGCTTTTGGTTGCTACAATATGGGCAACGTGGAGCGTGGACCCTGTCCCCTCTTATTGCAGAATAATAAAAGGTCACTTGTGTACATGCAATTGAAAACAGATAATGTTGCAGAATACAATTGGGCATTGACTCATTCACAAAAGCCCTGCTAGTTTTCTGTAAAGGAATATTTCTCCATAAGTATTACTTAATGTACAAACATCATTTCTTTGGTGCTCTTGAGTTTTAATTCCACAAACGGTCAGACAGAATTGCTCCTTAGACAGTTAATGATTTTATGCCTGGGATCAACCACCTTACCTCAAAAGGGGCTGCACCTAATCCATAGAAACCCTACTGTGTGGAAACAGGCCATTCTGCCCAACAAGACCACACCAACCCTCCGAAGAGCATCCCACCCAGACCCATCCCCCTACTCTTTCCCTGTAACCCTACATTTCCCCAGGCTACTACACCTACCCTACACATCCCTGAACACTGTGCGCAATTTAGCATGGCCAATCCACCTAACTTTACACATCTTTGGACTGTGGGAGGAAACCGGAGCACCCAGCAGAAACCCACACCAACACAGGGTGAACGTGCAAACTTCACAAAGACAGTTGTCTGAGGGTTGAATCGAACCCGAGTACCTGGTGCTGTGAGGCAGCTAACCAGTGAGCCACTGTGCCCATAATTGTCAAAACTAAAATTTCATTAGAAACTGCAACTGTGCATGCTCATACAAGTTCCTTTTGAAGGAAAATGGAAGTTTTAAAAGCTATATTTGAGCAGACACTTTGTTACATAAAAGTTTACAGCTTAGAAACAGGCCGTTTGGCCTAACAGCTGCTTGGTGGAGTTCATGCTTCCCATGATACACAGCTCCCCTGGAAACCAACATAAACAAAATCTCCTACAACTGCAAGTCCTTGATACCAACTTCAACTTTTACTGCGCAATAATTTATGAAGGAAAAATGTGGTTCTTAGAATCTATCAGTTATGTTCTCCTTGTAATGCAGTTAATCCAGTTGACTTCTGGCTTACCTTCTTATTGATCTTCTAATTATTTTATTATGACAAGTTTGACAATCTTCAATCACAGTGTGAAAAAGATTTTTCTTCTTGCAAAATGCCAAGAAGCTGCAAACCGGTTTGCATGTCACAGGTACTTTGCAAGTAGAAAATATTCTAGTCTGAAAGCAGCACAGATAAGATAAACTGGAGCAAAGGGAGAGCATTAGTCCCAAAAATAAATCCCAGTCCCAACCTGCATTCCAATCTCCTTCAGCTTTATGAAAGACTATCTGGGGACTACTGACTTACCTGCTCCCAGGAGTTAGGTTTGCAATTTAAATATTCTATTGAGGTTGCTTATTTCATCTTTATTCAACATTTGAAATTTTAACCGTGACCTGAATCTTGGGAAACTAGCAAACTAAATTGAGGCAAGGTTTGCCAGTTCATGGTTTAAGGACATTCCAGCTACATGCTGAGATCAGCATGCCTGCCTGGCCACCCTGTCAGGATCAGACAAACCCCACCAGGACCCCCACTCTCAATTCCAATTTGTTTCACAAGCCTCTGATTTCTGGACCCCACCAGCACAGTTGGGACGCAGACCAATCTGTACGGTTGGAGTGTGCGTGGAGCAGGCCGCAGCTTCCGACTTATCCTTGCCTGCACCCTTCACTGCCACTTGCATAGATCATCCATTCTTGAAATGTATCTGAAGGCTAATCTGATTTTAGACCTTGACAGTTCTAGAGTTGACAATAAATATAATGACATGTGGGTAGCCCGTACATAACAGAAAATAACATGTACCTATTTAACAGCATTAATGTTTATAAGACGTGTTCCATTCTTTGACTGTGCCATATTTAATATCCTCTTTTTCTATATGCATCTTCTAACCCTCCACCTCTGATCTGCATTTGTAAGTGCATATAATTGAGGTATGAGAGAAAGCTGTTTGTATACTTTGTGTATACTGTGGAAATGTAGGGAATAAACATTTATTACTATATTCCTACAAGACTTAACTAAAATATTCTGAGAGCTTAACTGTTCCATGACTTTCTTTTCCCCCTTCTCCACTTTATCCTGTTGGTTTTTCTCCTTTTATCCCATTTCTCTTGAAGGCAATGAATCACTCTGCAGTACAGTTCTACATATGGCAACAGCTCTTCATTACCTTGCCCAAATGGTCATTCATCATGCGAGACTGGACAGTGAGTATTGCCAGAGGAATTGTGTGAGGAACTTCGCAGTCAAGTTCCTTCTTGCCCAATGTCCTCTCAGTTAATAGCAAGCAGGCGTAAGAACCTGAGCCAGTTCTGTTTTTTCTCTTTTATTATGTTGTTTCCTTCTCCCCTTTATTAGAAACCTTTATTAGTCTGTCGCTGAGTATTACAACATGTAACATTACTACAGTGAGCTGGAGGATATCAGTGGTTGGGGGACAGTGGATGTAGAAATTTTGTATTTCACAACAAGGGAATAATTAACACCCAGAAGGTAGATTGCTATGTATACGTACATTACAGTGCTCACCGCTGTCATTTTATCCATTATTATTTGCATTTAAATGCACAATCTGTACAATTGTGTTAAAGATATAAAAAATGTGCAACACTCCATCAAGCTGAAAACTGAATATTGTCCTTCACACATTTTAAATATTTCCACAGGGGCTCTGCAATTGCAAAAATAATTGGAAACAATGTAAAGAAGATTCAGAAATTTGCCACAACAGTCAATATGTGGGTCTTTGAAGAACTGGTTAATGGAAGGAAGCTAACTGAAATTCTAAACCAAGAACATGAGAATGTTAAATATCTGCCAGGATACAAACTGCCTGAAAATGTGGTAAGGTAGTAGACAGGAAAAGATGTTGATAAGCTAAAGATTAATTGTTGTTTGAAGGTAAAATTCCTGTTTGTTACCCATTAATTTTACAATTTTTTTTACAATTAGAAAAATAAATTATCCTTAATTTCATTTATTTCATGGTTTTACCATTGCTTTCCTGTGCTTTGTGGAATGTGGTTTGTTTTTATTATTTCTGAATTAAACACAGGGTTAAATTTTTAAGAACCAATTTAACATGGAAATTTTAAAGTAGCATTCGATGTGACCGTTTGCACAGGCGTTAGTTATACGGAGTAAAACGGGTACAAAGTTCAAAGCAGAGTTTAACGGATGAGGGGACGGCATGCTACACAGACTGCTTCCTAAATTACTTAAACCTCAATAGCCTTTGAGTCCAGCTGAATATAACACTGACTTCGGTCCTTCCTATGAGGAATCGCTGCTTCTGGTCTGTTCTTCCTCCTGGTGTTGATAGTTGAGATTGAAGTGTGATCAATGTATGAATATATTAAAGCTTTAATATTATTCCGTGAACCATTGGGATTTTGGAATTTACTGTGATTTTGTTAGAAGCTTTTTTTTGTTTGAATTATGTAATAACTTCTTCAGACCAAAAACCATTTTGTAAAATAAACTTGTTAATATATCCTACTAATTCAAGTTCTTAAGGCATGCCGTAAAGAAAATGTTGCTTTCGAATAGAACCTTTCATGACTTTAGGACGAGTCAAGGCACTTTTACAGCCAATGTAGTACTTTTGAAGTGTGTTCACTGTTTTAGTGTAAATGACAGTTTGACCTTACCCTGCACTTCACATTCTATTAATTGTCTCACTCAGATTATCAAATCCCAATTCGTTTTGGAAAATTAGATATTCTAATACCAATTCTTTTACTTTCTCTCATGGGGATTGACTTTTTCAGGTTCTAGTACCTCACCTCAAAAGATATACTTATGTGAACATAATGTCTCAGGAGGCTGTTCAACATGGAGGGCGTTGCAGGCAAGACCAATCACAATATCACATGATGCCCATCCACAAATTTTAGAGGAGTTGCTTAGCAATGACATTTCCTAAATCAGGAATTGACGGTAATTTTAGGGCTTCTGCGCTGCTTAAACTGAGACTGATTAATTTTGCATATATTCTACATTATATAGATTGTAAGTTGCTAAACGCAATCTCTAGTCTATGCTAACTGAGCTCATAACCATCAATGTCAAGTTGCTCACTCATGGGGCTCGAATTTAGGGTATGCTCTGTTCCCTGATACCTCCTGCCCCCGAGTAAAACGCTGGTCAGCAGCCTGCCCACAAAAAAAAACCCTGTCTGTATGACAGATTGTTAATTAACTCAGGACAACACTTCAACCTTAATTTGGGGAGGAAGTCCCACCTTAGTTGCAGCAATACCGATTTGATTTTTGGCCGCACTGGGACTACAGTTAGTCTCTAAGAAAGCAAAGTTGTGGGAGCTGGACTGAAGATAAGTATGGGGTATCAATGAGGCCTAGTTGTAAGGGTCCAGCAAAGGGGTTGGGACCTTGTTTTGAGTGGTTGGGGCAGTGGGCTAAAGGGAGGCTGAAGTTTTGGGGTTGGGGGCGGTTTACCTCTGATGGACATGGGGGCCTTGAAAGAAATCTTCACACCTACCTTAACCATGATACAAGTCCGTCCAGTAGAAGCTGTTGGGCCTGCAACTGGGGGTCTCCCCTTGCTAATAGCGCAGGTTCAGCGCTTAAGTGATCATTGGTTAGTCACTTAAGGGCTTCATGAGGCCCGAGACTGGGTGGGTGCCTACACCCTCCCCAAATAAAAGGGATACAGGTGAGTATTGAGTAGTAATGGGGGGGGGGGGGGGGGGAAATGGGCAGACAGCCAACACACTTCATTTTACAAGACAACCCCAACAGATATTAGAGCAATTGTATAAAGTATATATTTGTATTTATATATTAAATATATTTGTAAATCTGCCTGTTGTTTGGGATAGTCTAAATTCATAAAAGGTACTATATAAATGCAGGCCTTTCTTTCTATTTGTTTACATGTTGGGCATCCAAACTCCTTGATCTGTAACACTTCTTTCAGACAGTGGAGTAATGAATCTAATTGTCTCTGATGGTCTGCAAAAGGCAAGTGCATGCTACTGATGGGCTGATGCAATTATGGATGATGAGTGTAAAAGCAGTTATAGTGCTGCTTGCAAATGAACAACATCTGCTTTGTGTACAATTACTTCCTAATCTATTGTGATTTTATTATAGGTTGCGATTCCAGACGTGAAGGAGGCTGTACGTGGTGCAGATCTGTTAGTATTTGTTGTACCCCATCAATTTATCCGTAAACTGTGTGATGAAATAATTGATCAAGTGCCCCAGAAAGCTCTTGGCATAAGTCTTATAAAGGTACATATGTATTTATAAATGATTCTCTCACTTCTGGTTGCCACAACTGTGGGCCATACAATTTCATTTGAGAAAGATTTTGGACTGGAAAGGAAAAATAGAATCTGTTTCTAGCTTAGAATCTTTCAATGTTTAATTAACTTGCAATGTTTATAAAATGTCAATTGATGCCTGCTATTGTCTGCCAAGTACTCAGTTCCTTACTGACTCCTTTTCCTCCAAGTTTTCAACATCCTAAGAGCCAGCATACATCTGCAATCAATAATTTGGGAGAAAGTTAGTAAGCATTTAGAAACGTGTGGATTATTCGAAGTCAGGATAGATTTGTTAATCTTTTGAGGAAAAATTAGATACTTAGTTGAAACCGAGAAAGGTACAAGATGATGGGAAGTCTTGTTTCGGTGGAATTAGTTTTGGATTTCTTAAGCAGCAAGCTGACATAGTCATTGATTGTAAACTGACTAGCTTTCCTTGCAGAAGTAGGCAGGCATAACCAAACTGTTAACAGAACATGATATATCAACTAAACTACCTGCCATCTCTCATCTATATTTTACTTTTAGTTTTGCTGTTGCCTCTCCACATTGCTTATGTTTATAGAAGCAATGTCTTAAAAAACACAGAATGCTGACATGCAGCAAACCAGCCAGTATCTGTAAAGGGGACAAACAAAAACACACATTGTTGGAAGAAGTCAACTGGTCTAGTAACATCTGTGGAGAGAAAACTGTCGCGAAATGTTAACTCTGGACTGTTTTCTCTCCACAGATGCTGCCAGGCCTGCTGAGTTTTCCAACAATTTGTGTTTTGGTTTGTTTCAGTTCTCCAGCATCTGCAGTTCTTTGTAATATTTCTGTAAAGGGAACAGTGTATGCACCCAGCATTTTCTGCTTTTGCAGCTTTGTTGAATATTGGCACGTGCATTCAAAATAAAATGCAGTGAAAAGTGTGCACCGTCACTCGTACATAAGCACCATTCACAGGATAAAATAAAGCGAGATAACTTAAAGAGAGTCCAACTTTCCTTCTTTGCTGCTATACCACTGCCAGACTCGCACTCTGGCCTTTCCAGCCCATACTACGCCACAGAGTGTGCCCTGCTTTGGGCTACCACAGTCTGTGCCATGCTGCTGTCAAGGGCCTACTCCACATGGAAAATGAGAACCCCACTCCAGGCCTCACAGGCCAGCTGACTGACTCAGCTGCCACCTCCAAAAACACCACCACTGCTCCGGAGCCCATCAAAGCCCTCTCCCGCCGATGAGCTCTCTTGGCTACCCGTGGTTCCAGGACTCGGCCCCCATGATGCCCCAACTACGCAGCCTCATCGTTGCTCCTGGGACATGGCTCCTCCGGTGCTCCGGGACGTGGCCCTTTGGCCCCCTCCGTCGCTCTGGGGACTCAGCCCCTCTGGGACTTGCTGCAACCCACATCTGATCCGCCAATGTTGCTCCAGCCCGCGCTCGTTCCGCTGCCACTGTAAGGCACGGTCCGCACACTCAGCTCCCACCCACTCATTGGAGTTGACTCCTTTCTTCAGGTTGGAGTTAAATAATTGAAGTTATAAACAGATAAAGATGAGGGGTGGGAATACTGCAAAGGGGAGAGGGAGAGAGAAATTAAAAAAAAGAAAAGGGGAAAGGAACTGGCGAGCAGAGGAGCTCCAACTGGAGCATCTTACCCTGCTGTTCTCTTGCTCGGACAGCTTAATAATTGGATACTGTTTATGCTACTAACCTTTTAACTTCAAAAATTGATCTTCATTGGCTAAGTCTGCATGTTGGTTAGATAATAGGTTGCTACATTGGAGAGGTAATGTTTAATAAACTACTGAAACTGGGTAAAAATGATTAAAGATAGGAATTATGTACTTATCTTTCAAGCACTCCAAGATGGCAGTGGAGTAGCTACGCAACATGCGGGCTCCTCAGTCCAAGAGCCTGGAGCTCATCTATTCCATCCGCTTTACTTTTCTCTCTTTTTCTATGCTTTTTAGAAAAATGTTTCCATTTATTATGGTATCTTCTTTTAATGACTTCGGCAGAAGGCATCTTCTCCCTGCCCAGGCCCCGCGATGAGGTGGCTTCCAGCAGCCCAGAATAGTGGTATAGCGAGGTGCCTGGCAGGGACATCTCCTGGTGTGGCAGCCTCCTCCAGGAGGAGCAATCTTGGTCTTGTCCTGGCGCGGAGATCTCGTCTTGGTGTAGACATCTTGTCCTTGCTGTGGACATCTTGTCCTTGCTTTGGTGGTGGCATTTGGGTCTTTCGGCAGTCTTTCAGCATGGAGGTCTCAGCCCTGCATGGTGGTTTCAGCCCTGTTTTCCAGCGTACCCTGAAACCCAGAACTGTTAATTGACTGTGATGAACTTCTACTTTATTTCTTCTTATTTATGATTTCTGTCATTAATTTAGGCGCTGTGGTAGAGCAACTTATAAGACGTTTCACTGTATTTTTTAATTATAAAACTACATGTGACAATAAATTGCTATTCTATTCATGTTATCTATGTGGCTACATGTGCTGAGTATGTTAAGTGGCCCACGAATGTGTAATTAACTATGGTGAAATTCATGTCTGATCTTGTAGCGTTGCGAAGTTAGGTAGAGTGCTTGTGGATTGGGAGGCAGGAAGTTAGAATTGGTCTTTGTAAAATGTTAAAGGGGGAAGCATTTCATGGTCCCTTTTAAAGATGATGTGCTTTTTCTATGCTTCAAGATTTAAAATGGTTGTCTTTGAGCAGCAGCTTGAAAGTTTGAAAGTACACAGAGAGCACCCGAATTGAAACATTTGTATTGAAAGGCTGTATAGTTCGCAGACCAAACAGCAGTTTTACCAAGACAACAGGCTTTTGAACTTGGCCAATCAATTTGAACAAGGCACTTAAATACCACAAGCCAATTAAATTTAAATCTGATGGTTTTGACAACATAGGACCAACCCTATTGTAAGAAATATTAATATGTCATCAAGGGTATAAAAGAAGGGAGCAGTTGGACGAAGACAAGGAGCTAACTGCCATCTGCCAGAGCTAACAGCTGTCAGCTCTCAAGAGGGAATCACTGGCTGTCACAGTCTCCTCTATGTCTTGGAAGAAGCACCATCTAAATACCAACAGCACAATTAGTTAACATTGCTGACAGAAGAATCAATGGAGAAGGCGCAAGAACTTTCTGAAAGACATGCAGCCTGGCTGTAATTTTGACAGACTAAACTCTTTTTTTTTTATATATAAGTAGGAGTTGTATTTATTGGCACAGCATACCATTAGAATCTTGTTTTATTCAGGAATAGTTAGTAGTTAGCAGGGATTTATTCGGTTTGTTAATAGTTTAGTTTAGTTAATTTGTTCACTGTTAGAGTTAAGTAAATTGTTACTTGTTGATTTTAAAGTGAGTGTCAGGGATTTATTTTATTTAATTACTAGAAGTTGCTGAAAGGCAGGTTACACCACTTTTCACACTCCTTTTACAGGTTATTGGGCGGGGTGCTCCTCTTTGGGTGTTTCAGTTTTAGTTCACAGAGGAGGGGGGGGTGTCAACGTCTGCTTTATAACAGTAGTCATCTCATGATTATTACCAAAGCAGTCAACAATTTAGTAAATAAGTAAAATTTCAAATCTTTCATGTGAATGATATTAAACATTTATCAATCTAAGCATTATTTCAAAATACAGTGCACAATGTACATATATATGTCATTATGAACACAACCATATTAGAAATATCAGAATGCAATACCATGACTTTGTATTGAAAAATTACAACCAAGGGATCATAATGAAAGCACAAAGCTATCACTAATGTGTACTTTCATAGGAATGGTGAATATTGTAATCCTAATGTTTAAATGAATTGTTTCAGTCACTGTACATTCAATATTTTTCTATCAATTTTTCTATTTGACTCCAGGGAATTGATGAAGGTCCCGAAGGACTAAAATTGATCTCTGAAATAATCAGGGAGAAAATGAAGATTGATGTTAGTGTATTAATGGGGGCCAATATAGCCAATGAGGTTGCAGCGGAGAAATTCTGTGAAACTACAATAGGTAAATCTGTTTACTTGGTAACAATTCTATTTTTGCATTGCAAAATTCTTTTAAAAATCTAAATTCAGTATGCTATGAATTGTGGTGCAGTGTATTAACCTTCCCGTTAAGGATAAGCAATGAAGTGTATGGCAGTTAGTAATCCTTCAGTTAAAGATATTCTGTGAGTTGTGCAGTACTGTATTAAACTTCCACTTAAGGATGTTGGTAGAAAATTGCATGAATTACCAGTTTAGTTGTTACAAGTTCTAATCTTGTCAGCTTTCAGAAAAACAATGGTGTTTATGCAGTCCATTTTATGTTTAGTTCTGTGGAGGAGCTGTTATCATTTCTTACCACTTCACTGGAATGCATAGGAAAATGAATTAGGCAGAGTACAAACCATACAGATTAGTTGGTCAATAGTTTGTGCTGAGTTAGTTGATCTGAACTGGTGTGATAGTTAAAATTGTACTAACAGTTGTAGTATTGCTTTAACTGTCTTTATGCCTGTGAACTGATAATCAGGGTTTCCACTCATGACTGTTATCTACCGACACCTGCAGGAATATTGTAGACATGTACTGCTGGATCAAAATACCAGCTAACACTTTCACTGAATCACACAAAATGAACTTTATTGAACTTCACCCCAATCTGGAGTCATTGCCTTTGTAATAGATGGACAGCTACTTGGAAGAAAATAAACAAATAAGTAAACAGAAACAGAACTTGGGATGTTACTCAATGAGGCACTTATGCGCAAAATATAAAATAATCTTTACCAGCATAAAAGGGAGTTGCAATATTCTAAAAGTATACAGAAACAAATGATAACCATTTTATTCTGAAAAATTTTTGTAAATAGCAAAATAATAAAGAAAATGTTTTCTTTGATTGAAAATGTCGTATGAATTGTAGAACAAATAGTGATTGAATTAATGTACACAATTCATAAATGTCTGGTTCCTGACTTACTGGAATGTGCGTAGTGCTAACTTAAGAAAAGATAGGAAACTTTCAATATGCAAACAGGCAGTTTGACTTCAGCAATTCATCTGTGTTTACCCCTCATATATCAACAAATAATTCTAATCTCACATATTCACCAGGTGCAATCTGGTGCAACCAGATGCTTGATGTTAGCCTTTGCCCCTTTTCACCTGAAATCTAACAAAGTTTACATCTGTCTTGATAATTTATAGTCTTTAGCATTCTTTCTCATAGCATTGGCTCCATTGCTTTTCTGAAAAGTCAAATCAATTGCTGTTTCTAATTTCTTCACTGAAAGTGTTACCTCCTTGATTTTCATAATTCTACAGGTCATACTATTATTTTGTAAGAATCAGCACTGACTGACACTTGCACACAGGCCTTTAGTCCCATATAGTCTGCACAATGTATTTAAAGCCAAATATTTAGTTACACAATAAAACCCAAAAGAACTGTGGATACTGTAAATCAGGAACAAAAACAGAAATTGCTGGAAAAGCTCAGCAGGTCTGGCAGTATCTGTGAAGGAAAAAATCAGAGTTAATGTTTCAGGTCTGGAATTAGTTTTGTTTGGAAAACCTCGGCGACATGGATGAGTTGGACTGAAGAGTCTGTTTTCATGCTGTGTGATTCTATTTATACAGGGGCAAACATCTCTAGCAGATTAGTTGGCAATTCTAATTTATAAATAAGCAAAGAAACATATTTATTTAGCACCTTTCACACTTGCAAGCCACCCTAAAGCATGTTATATCCAATTAAACACTGCCCCACACACACACACACACACACACACACACACACAGAGTTTGGCAATTTAAATGGAAACGTAGATTATAACATTAGTTATCAGTAGCCCAAATGACAGTACTCTGGTCTTTTAGCATTCTTAAGTAGCATGAGTTCGTGCATTGTTGTGAAAATCCTAAAAGTAACACTGAGTCTGTTTATTTCAAAACAATTCTGTGAACCGATTACATGTTTGGTATTTACATGTGCTGCCTTTCTTGTTCATAATCTACTGTGTTACCTTAAAAAGTGGCAGTATGTTTTAAATTCCGTTAATTAAAGAACTAAATAAATCTGTTTTATAATCAGGCAGCAAAAATGTACAAAATGGAAACCTTTTCAAAGAGCTTCTGCAAACATCCAATTTCCGGATAAGTGTGGTGGAAGATGCGGATACTGTGGAACTGTGTGGAGCACTAAAGGTCAGAAAGCCTACCAAAGTTCAGATGCTTTTTTAAGATTTTAAATCCTCCTTCTCATTTCCAGTATCAACCCATTTATATGTTGGTGCCCAAACGTTCTGCTTGAGTCTCACCAGTGCCACTTGAAAGCAAACAGGAGGTACATGGTTATGGCCTGGTTGTTTTTCAGTTCCTAGAGGTTATAATGGGCAATTTGGTAGCATGGGGATTGAATCTATGACTCCCTTACTCACACCATAGTAGTGTGTTTCACCGTAGGCTTTGGCTGACTAGTCATATTCGAGGAGTGAAGGACATAAACTGGGTAATACTCCTCCTCCCACCCACCTTCCTGCAAAAATGCTATCCCCTATTCCCAATTCCTTCGCCTCCGCTGCATCTGCTCCCAGGATGAGGCATTCCACTCCCGTACATCTCAGTTGTCCTCGTTTTTCAAGGACCGTAACTTCCCCCCCTCGGTGGTCGAGAACGCCCTCAACTGTGTCTCCCACATCTCCCGCACCTCATCCCTCACACCCTGTCGACACAATAAGAACCAAAAAAGAATCCCCCTCGTCCTCACGTACCACCCCACCAACCTCCGGATCCAACGCATCATCCTCCGACACTTCCGCCATCTGCAATCCGACCCCACCACCAAAGACATCTTTCCCTCCCCACCCTTATCTGCTTTCCGGAGGGACAACTCTCTCCGTGACTCCCTTGTCCGCTCCACACTCCCCTCCAGCTCCACCACACGCGGCACTTTTCCCTGCAACCGCAGGAAGTGCTACACCTGCCCCCACACCTCCTCCCTCACCCCCATCCCAGGCCCCAAGAAGACTTTCCACATCAAGCAGATGTTCACCTGCACATCTGCTAATGTGGTATACTGCATCCGCTGTACCCGTTGTGGCCTCCTCTACATCGGGGAAACCAAGCGGAGGCTCGGGGACAGCTTTGCAGAACACCTACGCTCGGTTCGCAATAAACAACTGCACCTCCCAGTCGCGAACCATTTCAACTCCCCCTCCCATTCCTCAGACGACATGTCCATCCTGGGCCTCCTGCAGTGCCACAACGATGCCACCCGAGAGTTGCTGTTCCTGCAACCTATATTCCGCTTGGGAACCCTGCAGCCCAATGGTATCAATGTGGATTTCACAAGTTTCAAAATCTCCCCTCCCCCCACCGCATCCCAAAACCAGTCCAGCTCGTCCCTGCCTCCCTAACCTGTTCTTCCTCCCACCTATCCCCTCCTCCCACCTCAAGTCGCACCTCCATCTCCTACCGACCAACCTCATCCTGCCCCCTTGACCTGTCCATCCTCCCTGGACTGACCTATCCCCTTCCTAACTCCCCACCTACACTCACCTTTACTGGCTCCATTCCCGCCTCTTCGACCTGTTTGTTTCCTCTCCACCTATCCTCTCCTCTATCCATCTTCTATCCGCCTCCCACTCTCTCCCTATTTATTTCAGAACCCCCTTCCCCTCCCCCTTTTCTGATGAAGGGTCTAGGCCCGAAACGTCAGCCTCTCTGCTCCTATGATGCTGCTTGGCCTGCTGAGTTCATCCAGCCCTGCATCTTGTGTTGAAAAAGTGCCTTTTGTTAAATGGATCAAAGCCAGATGATGAAGTATGAAACTAAATATCCAAGTTCAGCAGGTCCTAGGGAAGAAAGATGGATTGTTGGCCTTTATTTCAGCAGAACGGAGTGTAAAAATAGAGTAGAGTTGCTAAAACTATACAAGGTACAAATTAAAGCACACCTAAAATATGGTGAACAGTTTGGGTCCCCTTATGTAAGGAAAGATACAGTGGCATTGGAGGCGGTCTAGTGAAGGTTTGCTAGGATGATCCCAGGTTTAAAGCGAATGTCTTATGAGGAAAGGTTGAGAAGTTTGGCCTGTACTCGATAGAATTTAGAAAAAACAGAGAGGTGATCTTCTTGAAACATAAAAGTTTCTTAGGGGGCTTGACAAGGTAGATGCAGACATGTAGATGTTTCCCTTTGTGGGTGGGTTGAGGACTAAAAGACATAATCTCAGACTAATGGGTCACCCATTTCTGATAGAAATTAGGAGTAACTTTTTACTACGGATGGTTGTCATAGCTGGCAACTACGAATATTCAAGGCTGAGGTAGAAAGACTTTTAATCAGTAAAGGAATCACGGATTATGGGGGTGAAAGCAGGAAAGTGGCATTGTGAATTTGCCAGATCATCCATGATCTCACTGAATGGCCTACATCTGCTCCTGTGTCTTATAGCCTTATATAGTCTTGTAACTCTGTGTACATAACAAATCTGTTCAACTTTAATCATTTCCTCTGGCTTAGTTTTGAGATTCTTAAACATGGCAATGGGTTTGGGCCAGTTGCCTGGCTGGTCAAACTAGGATTTTGGCAAATCTGTTTTTATTAAATTACTAGATTGAAAAGTAATAAAAGCATAACAATGCAATCCTGTCTTTTTCCTTCTTCAGAAATTTGGTCAAAAATCTGCATGTTGTTAGTACAGATATCTATTTTAAGAAGTTTGATAGCAGGAAATGCTGCTTCTGCATCTTGAAAGTCATGGCTTTATTTTGCATTTGGACCCAAATTTGTTTGAAGGCAATGTATTAATCTGTGATCTCATAGCATCTAATCAGATAAAATAATATTTGAGATTAATCCTTTCTCAGAATCAGTCTGACTGAAATATTTCTATTGTCTGATGCCCTTTTGATATAAAAACAAGAAATTTAGTCAATACTCAAGTCTCGCGGGTGGAGTTATGTTTCAAGTTGACACCCTTTCATCAGAATTGGACAAAGTTAGAGATTTGATCAGTTTAAAGTAAGCTTGGAGTCAATGAAAGGGGAGAGGGTGGGGAAAAAGGCGAAGTTCTGTGACAGTTTGAAAGTCACAAACGATTAGATGGCAAACGGGATGATAGTGCAAAACCAAAAGGAGTGGTAATTGAAGGATTGAGGAAGCAAAAGCTTTATCTGGCACACTCAGGAACATCTGCTGTCTGAAATGAAAAACAACGAATAAGACATAAGAGCAGAAGTAGATCTTTCAGCACATCGAGTCAGCTCTGCCATTCAATGAGATCATGGCTGATCTGATAATCCTCAATTCTACATTCCTACCTTTGGTATGAATGACTCAGCCTTGACCGACCTCTGTGATAAAGAATTCCACAGATTCATTACTCCCTGAAAGAAGAAATCCCTCTTCATCTGTGTCTTAAATGTGTGACCCCTCATTCTGAGATTATGCCCTTTAGTGTTAGATTCACCCACAAGGGGAAAAAGCCTTTCCACATTTACCCTCTCAAGTCCACTAACAATCTTGTTGCTTCTTGCTTATTATTAAATTATTTAAATGGAGAAAAACTACAGAAAGCTGCAGTACAAAGGGGATACTTGTGTACAAAACATAGAAAGCTAGCACACAGGTGCAGCAGGTAATCAGGAAGGCTAATGGAATCAGAGATAGCAGGAACTGCAGATGCCGGAGAATCTGAGATAACACGGTGTAGAGCTGCATGAACACAGCAGGCCAAGCAGCATCAGAGGAGCAAGAAGGCTGACGTCAACCTTCCTGCTCCTCTGATGCTGCTTGGCCTGCTGTGTTCATCCAGCTCTACACCTTGTTATCTCAGGCTAATGGAATGTTGTACTTTATTTCAGGGGGATTGGAGTATAAGTGTAGGGAGGTCTTACTGCAACACTGTACAACATATTGGTGAGATCACATCTGGAGTACTGTGAGCAGTTTTGGTCCCCTTATTTCTGGAAAGATATCATTTCAGAATTCAGAATAGACTTTATTGTCACGTGCATTCAAAAGAGTGCAGTGAAAAACTTGTAATGTCGCCTCTAGACACCATCTTAGGTACAGGGTACCTAGGTACAGATATTTTGAGTGTTGCTACAGAATTAAAATAGCAAAAAAAAAGGCTAGCACAGGACTACACAGTGTAAAAGTCCAGAATCAAAGTACATAGTGTAAAAATAACTTGAGTTGTAGACCTTTTTCACTGAGTCTGTGCCTACCAGACTTCAGAACACGAGCTCTCACTGCCTCTGCCTCTGTCCAGGACTCATTCCCCCTAGCTGGCCTGGGCTGACTCTGCTTCCACTCGGGGCTCCAGCCACAACTCTTCTCCCAGCTTGGCCTGCGCTCACTCTGCTCCCGCTCCGGGCTCCAGTCACAACTCACTTTCAGCACTTAGCCCCTCTGGCTGCGACCCATCTCCCGTGCCAGGCTGGTCTTGGATTCTGTTCTACGTTCCCTTCAGTTAGAGTACTTTAAGAAGCCAAAAGTTGGGGGAGCAGGTTTGGGGCCAGGGAGGGTGCGAAAAACTGCAGTAAGAGGTTTTAAAAAAAAAAAGAAAGAGGAAAAGGAGCTGGTGAGCAGAGTAGCTCCGGCTGGAGTATCTTACTCTGTCACCATCTTAACCAGAAGGCATTGGAGGCAGTTCAGAGAAGGTTCACTAGGATGATCCCTGGTTTGGAGAAATTGTCATATGAGCAAAGGTTCAACAGGTTTGGACTGTACTCATTGGAATTTGGAAGAATGAGAGGTGATCTCAATGAAACATTTGGATTTTTAAAGGGCTTAACAAGAGATGTTTCCCCTTTTAGGAAGGTCTAGGACCAGAGGGCATAGTTTCAGAATAAAGGGCTGCCAATTTAAGGATGAGCTGAGGAATTTCTTCCTTGCCACAGAAAGTAATGGGAGCAGAGACCCTGTGTATATTTAAGCGATAGAAAGATTCTTGATCAGTTGAGGAATCAAGGGTTATGGGGAAAGGGCAAGAAAGTGGATGTGAGAGATGTCGGATCAGCCATAATCCCATTGAATGGTGAAGTAGGCTTCAGGGGCCAAACAGCCTAATCCTGTTCCTATTTCATATGGCCTTATTCTATTATATTCCAATGAGTATGGGCCCAACCTACTCAACTTCTCCTCAAATGACAGACCTTCTATACCTGGTATCCACCTGACGGGCCTTCTCTGGACTG